CAGCGGCACTTTCCAACCTACGGCAACGAGATGACGAATCTTTAAGGTGTTTTATGGAACGTTTTGCCAATGTCTCCATCAAGATCCGTCATCTTAACCCCGAAGTCGCCCTCCATTCCATGCTGATGGCGTTAAAACCTGGACCTTTCGTGGATAGCCTTTGTCGGCATCAGCCAGCAAATATGGACGAGCTTCGAGCCCGTGCAGCAGGATATATTCAGATGGAAGAACATGCTGAATTCCGCAATAATATCCGAGATAGTCTCTCTAACAAGGGTGAATCTAGTGGTGGTGGCAAAGAGAAGTCCAAACCTTATCCTACTGACCCAAAATCCAAAAAACCACGTCACATGCGTGGTCCCAGGTATGACTTCTATACACCTCTTAATGCCCCTCGTGTTAATATTTTGGAAGAGGCTAACCATGCAGATTTAATATCTTTACCTCCCCCGACACACAATCCGCCCAATGCCGATAAAAGCAAACACTGCCGCTTTCACCGAAATCATGGGCACACTACGGAAGAATGTTGGACTCTTAAGTACCGAATTGAAGAACTTATTCAAGCAGGACAACTCGGACAGTATGTTCAACGCAGTCAAAATTACCGAGGAGGCTTTCGAGGCCGGGGACGAGGTCGTGGACGATATCAAGGAGGACGATATCAAGGCTACCAAGGTCGAGTTGAGAGCAATCATTACAATCATCCAAATCAACACGAGGAGGGCAAACTGAGTTCCAACAGTACTGATCCACAACATACAGAAAAAACCCCCCGAGGAACACACTATACGTGGCGTGATCAATACTATAGCTGGAGGTTTTGCTGGAGGAGGGAGTTCTAATTCGGCCCGCAAACGCCATCTTCGTACTATTCATAACATAAACAACTATGGCAGCACTGAGTCGAAACCGGCAACCCCAACTCCTCCTATTGTTTTCACCGACGAGGATTATGAGGGCATAAGTTTAAACCAAGATGACCCAATGGTCATCTCGGTCGAAGTTGCAAATTGGGAAGTTCACAAAACTTTAATCGATCAAGGAAGTTTTGCTGATGTCTTGTACTGGCCGACCTTCCTGAAGCTTGATCTCCCACACGACTTAATTCAACCATACTCGGAACCCCTCGTTGGTTTCGCAGGTGAGCGAGTTCATACTCGTGGTTTCATTGAACTATTGACTTCTTTTGGTACAACAAAAAATTCCAAATGTGTCTTAGTCAAATATCTGCTAGTGGATGCTGTCACTTCATATAATATACTCATCGGGAGACCCACGTTAAATCAACTTGGAGCAGTTGTATCTACTCCTCACCTATCCATGAAGTTTCCAGGGATGAATGGGCACATAGTGACTGTTAAAGCCAATCAACAAATAACACGAAAGTGTTATGCTGAAAGTCTGAAGATCCACCATGCCACGACCCAACCTGCAATGTCCAGCTCTACCATGATTGCTCATGTTAAAATGGCAGCAACAACCGAGTTAGATCCTCGAGTTGACATGCATGATCATCGCCCAAATCCTATTGACGAGTTGATCAAATTTCAGATCGGCAGTAAAGCGACTCAATGCACCAAAATTGGCCACTGCATGGATCCAAATATCCAAGGTAAAATCATGGCAATCCTTACTGACAATGCTGACCTTTTTGCTTGGACTAGCGCAGATATGCCGGGGATCGATCCCAACTTCATTTGTCATAAGTTGGCGATTTACAAGGAAGCAAAGCATGTATCACAGAAGCAAAGGAAACTCGGCGGTGAAAGGCGAGAAGCAGTGCAACTTGAAACTCAAAAGCTTCTCGACGCCAAATTCATCAGGGAGATTAAATATACCACTTGGTTAGCCAATGTTGTTATGGTTAAAAAATCTAATGGGAATGGCGTATGTGTGTTGATTATACAGATTTAAATAGAGCTTGCCCCAAAGATTCATACCCACTCCCCAGCATTGACAGATTAGTTGATGGAGCTTCAGGTTATGGTATGCTCAGTTTTCTTGACGCATATTCAGGTTACAACCAAATTTTAATGTATCCCCTGAGGAAGTTGAAGAAGTAGGGGGAGGGGTTGAGGCACAGGGGAGGGGAGTGGGAGACGGAGGGGTGAGGGAGAGGTGAGAGACGACGGAGGGGCGAGAGAGAGGTGGGAGACGGTGGGGAGAGGAGATCGTATAATTATAAAAATATTAATAAAAACTTAAAAATAGATAATGTAAAAATTTAAATAATAATTCTTATTTAAAAGGCTGACATGACATTTAATGATGTGTATGTACACATCAGATACACATCAGATACAGTACCAAAACCCCTCATTTTTCAGGGATACAGTAGCAACCCCCAATAAAAAATTGCTTGTACTACAATGAGTAATTTGACTAATTTCTAAACATGGGGACTAAAAGGTAACTGTAATGCAAGTATAAGGATCAAAACGTAAAATGCAACACACGTCATTGTCACGTTAGTGACATGTCAGAACCACATGATCCACTCATGCATTCATGCACCCTGTCAATAAACCAATTTTGCCCAATTCTTACGCAAAAGCTGAAAAGAATGTGCTCTTCTGCTTCTCATTCACAGAACATAACCAAATATATGGTTGTCAAAGTAAGCTTAACTTTTGCAAATCTGCAACGTGGATTGAGCTTTCTGATACTAGACGCTCTTATTGTGACATTGTGTTCTACAACAATTATCTTTTGTACTTTGGCACAAGATAGCTCTATTTAAGGATAAGATGTCAATATATTCTTAGAAATATCTTGGGTGTTAGGCCAATATGAGGTAATAGACACAAACATAATTTTCGAGAGAGATTTCGATGGTGATAAGATACATTGGAAATTTTGTAAACGACGACGGTAGCAGTTGATGAAGGATATATTTTATTATTCGATGAAACACCTCCCCTGCTTTGTCCTTACCGAACAAAGCATTTTAAACTGGAATTCAGAAAAGAAGAGATATTTAGATCAAGTTCTGTTTCTAGGTGTTAATGATCCATATCAAATTCAGTTCAAGCCTTTTCAAGATGTGAAGAAAACTTAATTTACAAATTATAGGTGGGATTAGAAGAGTTTGTTGGACTATCTATATTGGGGGACATGATTTCTCAGTGAATCTGCCAACAAGATTGATCCATCACATGCTGGTAGTTCACTGCAATAATTCCTATGAGATATTTGGCCTTATATGAGTAAGATACAAGTGTCTCCCAACTACTCTTTGACACACCTGGGTTGGATAGCTATTCTACAGAACTACTGTATAACTTTCCCTTGCAATCCGTTGGTGTGGAACTGGAAATTGGCTTGGGGGCAAGCAGCCTTATCCAGTAAAAGATCAATAGCATATTTTCATTGCTTCCTTGTTGAGACTGGTCAGTTTCAAACCAAGGAAAGGAAAATTTTGAGCTGGCCAAGATCATTGATGCTAAATTTTACATCCAACAACTCCTTCATATGCTAAATTTTCCCACTAGCACAGAATCATCCACGTAGTCAAGAATTGCAGTAAAGCTCAAACCTTTAGAGTTCAAACTTGGTGAACAGGCAATAACCTATCTTGAACCAGGAATAACCTAGAATCAATGAGACTAATATAATTTGGTATTCCATTGAGACATTGACAACTAGCCTGCTTTAATCCATAAAGGAACTTCCGTAATTTGCAAACCAGAACAGATCAGATATCTCTAAAACCTGGAGGAGGCTGAATATATTCTTTTTTGAGAAGATCTCCATTAAAGAGAGTTATGTTGACATCTAATCGGTGAAAATGCCAATTGAATGTGGAAGATGGAGACAATAGAACTTAGTATGGTCATCTTGACACGGGACTAAGTCTCTAGATAACCAATCCCACACGTCTAAGTATAATTCCCTTAGCAATCAATTGAGCTTTAAATCTTTCTATTGAGCCATCTGCAATGTGCTTCAGCCTGAAAGCCTACTTGCATCCAAGAGGGAGAGGAGTGAGTGTCTAGGTTTGGTTCTTTTCCAAAATCAACAGTTCAAACTTGATAGTGCTATTTTAATTTTCATTATCCAGTTTCTGCATAAGAGGTAGGCTCAGGAGAAGAAGAAATGGCTAAAAACAGATCCTGTGCGAGTTAGACAGTGGATACTTGACCTGTGACTTAAACATAGAGTACCAGAGTGTTTCGATGAGAATACTTTGAAGGTTGGGTTAAAATCGGAGGTCAATTATTGAAGGGTTGGCATCATTTGTGGTTGACTGATCACATTTTCATTATTCATTGCATCTGTGACAGGTGTAAATAGAATATGGTTTAAAGGGATAATCAATAGGCTGATCTTGCGGATAATTTGGTGTTTGGGAAAGATAAATTAGTATCATTGATTGAGATGTATGGAAACTTATTCTGATATAAGATAGAACTTCACAGTTCACATCCCTTAAAAATACATTTTCTGTAATTTGAGATCAAACAAAACACAGCCTTTTGTGCCTGACTTAAAAGCCAGAAAAATGCATTTTCTAGCTCTTGGGTTCAATATAGTCACGACTGTTGACCAAAAACGGCGGTTATCTCCAACAAGTGGAGAAGAAACCAATACTGCTCCAATATTTTCATTTGGATGCATATAGAAAAGGCATGAAAGATCCAGAATCAGATTTGGGCTTGCAATGTTTACTTGATTATGAAGAATTCAATAATCAAACAAAAAACAAAAACCTCAAGATTTGGATACAAACAATCTTGAGCAACCGTGGCAGATCTCTGAAACTGTGAAAATAGAATTAGAATAACCTTAACAGAATGAGAATTTGCTTCGAGAGAGGAGCACAAAGCATCAAAGGAAGAAGATAGGTTCTCTCTCATCACTAACTAGAAATAAAAATAGTACCTAGCTAACAGAATTAACAGTTGTACAGAGACATAACAGAAATTAACTAAGTCACTAAAATACTAGTTTTGACTTCAAAAGTCCAAAACCCTCAAAACAGAAGAGGCAGAAACAAGGAACATCATAGTAGAACCCTGATTTCATAAAAGTCGTTGAAGCTTGGAGAGCAAAAACAATAAATGATAAATCCATCAATTTCAAGTTTCAACAAACACGAAACTTAAATTTTCAGTAGTTACGCACACGAACAAGGCAATAGCACGAAATCAGTTATAGGCACATAAACCTAAATCATGAGTATTGTACATAGAGAGGACGCCTGTATTCATCGAAGTACTGATCACGATCGACAAAGATAATGGCATAGAGAGCATAAATTATGCCAGGAATATAACCTAGAATGGTGAGGAGCAAGCAGATGATGAACTCAACCTGCATAAACGAAATCACAGTCTCACAGATCTCGCATCGCAGCGAAATTAAGACGTAAAGAGAGAGAATGACATACGCTGCAACAACCGTGGCGAAAGCAAACTCCGACTGGAGGGAGCAAGATCGCGATCATTATTTCGCAGCATATTTCACAACGTGTTGGCATCTTCCACTGCGTTTCTTTCGGTCTTCACTGTTCAGTATTCGATACTGTTCAGTATTCGATATCGGAACGCACTCTATAAATGCCCAAGTCAAACAACTAACCAAGTCCACGTGGAGTTCTCTGTTTCGCTCACTTTCTAAAATATATTTTCTACTTTTTTATTTATTTATATATATATATTCAGATAAATATTATCTACCGCCAAATAAAATTTGCTTCGTGTACATTTCATACATTAGAGTATTCAAATAAAATTTCATTAATTCTGGTAGGGATTGATCTACCTTTAAATAAATAAGGTTAGGAGTTTGAATCTTGTCTTATACATACAGTTGCGTTAAATTTTGGAGTCAGTTATTTCACTGTTTGAGGTCCTTTATATATGTAGTTGCATTAAATTTTGGGGTCAGCTATCCCACTTTTTGAGATTCCTTCTATCTAGGAAGGAGATTAATCACTCTTATTTCTAGATGCTTCGTGAACGAAAAAAAAAATTTCATTTGAATACTCTTATACGGTGGAGTGGTTTGATTCACTCCCTTACAATGTAATGTTTAGTCTTATGCTTTCTATTCCTTTCCAGAACTACATCTAGCAAAATTAGTCAAAGAAAAATCTCATGTCATTTTCTATGATATTCCTTTCTCCCATTATCTTTCTCAGATTCTTTTTTATCATAAATTTAAATGTATTATTCAAATTTTATAACATGAAAAATAAATATTAATATAAAAATAACTTATGACATTATAGCTATTTTGTCTTGCAACTGATTTAATAATTGGCGCAAGTGACTTTTGTAATTATTGACAATTTTATGAAATTGGTTATATTTATAATTCATTTGAAATTTAATTTACAAAATTGGTTGAAATATAATTTATTTTTGAATATATTTAAACAGTGACCACCGACTTATAAGTAGAGTATTTTTAAAATTACCTATTTAAAATATTTTAAATCGATTTAACTTTTAACTTATTTTAAATACACTACGCATAGTACAAAATTATGCAAGGCATGCAGAAGCTATGAGTTATCTTGGAGAGATGATAACACAACACAACCAATAAACACTAACATATCAGTTTCCCTTGGCAAGAGGTTTCCATAATGACTTAAAAATTGCAGAGAAAGTGAAAGAATATGCAAGCCGACAAAGAGATTGTATGTAATTGTAGTGCAGGGCAGGTACGCACAACCAAGTTTTGTGCTGTGTGAATGTGTTGTGTTGTGTGTGTGTGTTTCAATTAGTGGCGTTCAATTTTAGATTCATTTGTATAGTTAGAACGTATTAAAAAGGCGTATTGTTGTAATTTCATTCTTCTGTTAGATTCTTCTCAAATTCATAATTTATACATTGTTCTTCACCTGCTTTGCTTTGATTGTGAAATACAAAGATTTAGTTTGACAGACTTTTGAATCGATTTAATGAACCACTCCTTATTGTTAGGTTTCAAGATGTTGGTATCCCAGGTTTTGATTACAGATTTTTATATGTACAAGATCGGTTATACAGTAACCTTTTTCGTATGTAAAATACATATAAATAACTGATTTTATAAGACACTTTCAAAACCCAGTTAAAGCTTGATCAAAATTATATATAGTTTTATAACTGGTTTTGTAACTAAAAAGTAATTAATTTTAAAATCATTTTTTCTACTAATGAAAATATCAACGTATGAATGATAACATGTGAAGAAATATTATTTAGAAAAATATGAAGTTAGAATTAATTATTTATTAAAAATATATTAATGTTGTAATTTTTCCTTTAAACTCTTATCATTTATGTTATTTTATTAATTATATTATTTCTTAAAAATCTATATTCTTTTTTTGAAATCTCATAAAATCGTTTCAAATCTTATAAATATTTATGATATAAATCTATTAAAATTTATATTATAAAATTTTAATTATAAATTTTTTAAAAAAATCTTAAAAATTATTAATTTTATAGAATTTTTTTAAAAACTTACAATACTTTTTCATGTTAAAATAATTTAATATAAAATTCTTGATATTTCTTTTGAACTCAATAGTATCATTGGTATGAAACATAAAATAACATTAAAATAATTCCCTCATTTAGTATTTTAATTTTTTTTGTCATATATTTGTCAAGAGATATATACAATATTTATTTGATTAAATTATATTTTTATCCTTTATCTTATTTTTTAAATTTATTTTGGTCTTTTCTTTTTTAAAATATTTTTTTTATCCTTTTAAATTAATAATTAATTTTAATTTTGTAACATGATTTTAAATCAATTTTTAACTTATTTTAGACCTGAAACTTATAATATTAAATTCACTTATATGAAAATTATGAAATAAAATTGACATTTAAATTTAAAAAATTTATAAACATGAAAATTGTATAAAATATATATGTTACAAATAACTAAAAAATAATATGAAATTAATTTTTTTTTATTTCACCATGTTTATAACACATTTTTTAAACTTCAATCACATTTAATAATTTTTGTATAATGGAATCTTATGAATATTTAAGTATTAAATCAGTCAAAAAAGAATTTAAAAGGACTAAGTTAACTTAAATTTAGGAGATAAAAAACTAAAACAAATATTTTGAAAAGATAAGGGACCAAATAAATCTAAAAAATAAGATAAAAAACCAAAAGAATAATTTAATTTATTTAACTTAAGTAAATAAAAAATACGTATCATGTATTAAATGCTTTGACTTAATTAGTAAAAATAATAAAGAAAACTCTTATAATAATATAATAAAACTAATTAATTAAATGATAAATGTTTTTTTAACTGCATTAAATGGCAAATGTTAAAATGAGCTGTTTTGGTTTGCCCACAGTATTCTTATGCAGAGGGACAAAATTTAAACTCGGTATATAAAATTTAATTTAAAAGAGTGACCTCTTTCTATTGATGTTTTTGAATTTCACACACAATACACATAAATCTAAAAGTTGAACTCCAAACCATGGTTAAAAAATATAGTAATAGATAAACATTAAATGCTTATAATAAGATAAAAAGAATATTTCAATAGATTTTTAGAAAATAAAAACTAACACTATTTATTCATATTTAATGGTATTTTGTTAGTCAATTTATTTCATTAAATTTGTTTAAAAAGTGAGGAAAAAAAGAAATTTGAATTCTGGGTCAAAATGGGAGTAGCTTAGAAAGATAGCATGGTCCAATTGAAAAGAGGAATAAATTAAATTGGTCCCATTCAAAAGAGGAACCAAATCCCTTTTCTTCCCTTTTTTAAGTCCCGAATTTCTCGAGAATTCATCATAAGATCCAAGAACCACAACTGGAGCTTGCCCGAATATGCACCGCATGATCATTAAACGACAACTCCTTGACCATTGATCAAACTTTCAAAACTCACCACCCTCACCCCTATTTAATCACTACACCAAATGCTCAATTCCTCACCTCTTTGCATTTTTGATTTTTCCAACAAAATGGAGTTCAAATACCGCGCTACCCAAAACCCATCAACTCCAATGTCACATGCTCATGCTCATGGCACCGTCACTTACGTCTCTGCACCCTCGCTACGACAAGGTAAGTAACGTTTCTCTCTCAAGAGACCCACCCATTTGTTTTGCTCTTGAAAAGGACACAACTTTTGTGACATGGTAGGTGGGTTTTCCGTTAATTTTCCGGCGGGCCTGGCGAAGGCCCAAGATATACTGCAGCGAGAGTTGGAAAAGCAACAGATACGGCGGGAGCTGGAAAAGGAAGAAATCAGAAGGGAAATAATTGCCGCCGAGATGGCTCGACGCCGTGAACTGGAGGAGGAAGTCAGGAGAGAAATGGCATCGGAGAGACCTCTGGGAATCCCCATGCAAAGAGGTGAAGGCTTTCAGGTCCCACATCGATTTTCAATGCCTTTGAATATATTCAGTGGGCCCAAACCCCAGTTACACTCCCCACCCCAAGATTATACTCCGACCACACAGACTAACAAGGATAAACTCATTATACTGGTTAGTCTCTACTCTTACTCTTATGTTTCATTAATTCATTTATTTTTATCCTTTAATTTCTTCAATTTTATTATTATGTCCTTCTTATTTATAAGACTAAGACTTAGCTTGGATAAATTGTTTCTTCCTTAATAAAATATTTAGTGATGTATAAGACAAATTTATTATCATCAATTAAATTGAATATATATATTTTTTTCTTTTTTATTATGAATATTCTTATATTTTTAATTTTTCCTTTGTCTGGTGAATATCTTGTCATTCTTTTTTATCCTAACCAAAAGATGGTTTTGATATAATGGGAATTTTGTTTGAGTATTGATTGCAGCCTAGGCCAAAAGTTGTTGTTCAAGGTGCAAAGCGTCCAATGTTGACACCTCCCGCAACTGATGAGGGTGAGCATCCTTCACTTAATCTGCGAAAGAAACCCAAGCATCAGTTTAGTTGCTCACTCTGTCAGATTAGCACTACTAGTGAGAAAGGTTTGAATGATCATTTCCAAGGTAGGAAGCACAGAGCTAAAGAAGTATCACTAAAGCCAAAAATAGGTGAGAGCACCAAATTATTATTATCATTAAAGAAAAGTAAAAAAGTGTGTAATTTACTGAAGCATTTTTATCATGAATTCAGGTTTGGAAGGAAGACTAGAAACCAAATTATGCAACCTTCCATAAAACTCGCAAATACAAGCATATTGGAATAAGAAAGAGAGGATCGTTCTATAAGGAAAAGTTAAGGTTTAGGTGGTCTAGAACTAGAAGAAACAAATGCATTGACTACAAGGGAAAAGTTCAAGTTTTGATAATGTAACATCCTCAAATTTTATGAATGATATAACTAATATATTTCATTTTATCATTGATTTATTTTCTATTAATCACTAAATTTTTATTTGCTAATAATATTATACTCTCAATAATATAGAGACTTTTTTCTCTCTATTAATCACTAATATTCTTATTAATTTGTTATGTCATTGTCATCTCAATAATATAAAGACTTTGTGTGAAAGTCTACTTATTAATTAAATGTTCTGAAAAATAATGAGAATTCCCTCGAACAAATAATTTATCATCATGTCTAGAATATTATTTATCATCATAAATATAAAGATTAATAATTTTTAATCTCACAAATTAAAATCATAAAATTTAATTAAATGACTTTATTAATTATTTTGGGAGAATAGAAATAAAATACCATTTGATACCATAATAAAAATGAGACAATGCCATGGAAAATAAAAGGGAACACTTCCAGAAAGAAGATTACTTACAGCGATACTAAATTTTTATCATATTAGTTTTTCTTAATACTAAGGATGTTTGGGAAAAAATTACGTTCAACGTAACTTACTTTTAATTAAATGGGACAAAAGAGTTACTTCTCCGTTTAGTACATTAGAATGTGTAAAAGTCTATTGAATGAATTTCAAACGATAAACCAAACACACACTAAAAAAATTTGGCTTTTAAATATATATGAAAATTAAAAGGTCCTTATTTTACATTATCTGCTAGTTGGATAACGCTTCAAATACAATTTGAGTATGGAGCTCACTCTCTAAAAAAAGATTACAATTAACTTTGGCCGTTCAACTGTTAAATCTCAATTCACAATAATAACAAAAACAATATTCTATGTTGTTTTACATTATCTGAAAGTAGGAGAACGCTTCAAAACAATTTGAGAGGTGCTCCCTTCTAAAAATATTTACAAATTAACTTTGACCATTCTACTGTTAAATCTCATTAATTCACAATAATAAAATAAATTCTATTATATTATATGTTATGATCGACTTGATGCTAAGAATGATATCATAGATAAGCAAAAAGGAAAAATAGTTTAAACTAATAATTAAAATGATGTTATAGAATATAAGAGATGTCGCACTAGGATTTCAAATGAAAATATATCATGCATATGAACAACTTTTCGGTATAAAAAAAAAAGAAGAAGAAGAATGATGTTTCTTTCCCGTGTAGAACTATACATATAAAGAGAGTGAGGAAATTTTTTTTTAATTTATTTTATTTAATAACTCATATTTTATATCAAATTTTAATAATTTAATTATTAAATTAAAATTTCTAAATTTATAGATCAGGTTTAAATTTTTATAAAAATTTTGAAAATTATGTAATACTTTATTTTATTAATTCTTATTGATTGATAATCATAAAATATTTTAAACATTGATTTGAATTAAAAAAATTGAAATATCAAATAGTTTTCAAATTTTGTAAAAATTTGTAGACTATATCTATATATTATTTTTTTTTTAATTTAACGAGTGAATCATATTGAAATTTGATATAAAAAATGAGTTATTGAATGATATAATTAAGTTTATCAAAACTTATTCTTGGAGTAAGTAGATCCTTTCTTACACACACATATATTATAAGAAAGGATCAAGTTACTCAAATAATAAGTTTACTTAAATTTATTCTATTTAATAACTCATGATCTACATTAAATTTTAACAATTTATTTGTTAAATTAAAAGTTTTTAATATATAAAAAAGTTTATAAAATTTTAAAAAATTTGAAAATTATTTGTTATTCTATATTATTAATTCAAATTAATGGATAATTATGAAAATATTTTATATGTTGCTTTGAATTAATTAAATAAAATATTAAATTTTAATTTTTTTAAAATTTTATAAACTTTTTATGTATTAAGAACTTTAATTTAATGTTTAAATATTAAAATTTAATGTAAAATATAAATTATTAAATAAAATAAGTTTAAGTAAAACAAAATAAGAGTCCAAATAAAAGAATCTAACGAATGAAATAGGTACATCTCCCTTTGTATCTCAAGTATATATCCTACTATGTCGACACCATTTGAACAGGCAGGAGAGTGGTGTTTCTATTGTCTTCTCTGGTACCACAAAAAATCTTTTAATTATTTACTTTAAAGTTGGATTCTTTGTTGGGATCACACTGGCAGGGTTTGGAGAGAATATTACATTATCTATCCCCGTATCTAAACGTTTGAAAAAAATAAAATCATACTCCTTGGCATACTCATGTTGATAATACTAGGTCAACATATATAGTGGTTCTCATTCATTCTTTATAAAGAATTAATAAAGATGTTCTTATTAGGCTAATAGTAACAATATCAAAAAAAAATTAATAAATTATTATATTAAAAAATTATGATCTTCTCTATAAATTTTAGATTTTAAATTTAATTATAAATGTCAATATATA